TCAAACAGATGGGTGTAATTATTTTTTAATCGGAGAACCAAAAAAATGGCTTAGTATCCCTGAATTAGCAGCAGAGATCCACAGCTCAGGTGTGAGTCTTATGAAGCAATCTATAGTTGGAATACAGCTATCAAAAGAATAACGTTTTATAAGCCACCAGCTATGCTGTTTACTCATAATGGGCATAGATCTACAGAAGTTTTCAACATGTTTAAAAGCTCATGTTTTGGACTCACTCTAGTGCATATGTACATTGAAGGAGGTTGTTTTGTGAAGGATACAGCTGAGGTGTTGTTTTTCTTGTAAAAAAAAAAAAAAAAAGCTTTTTCAGTCGCTTACAAACTTGCAGAGGCATACATATCTCTACAGGATCCACACTGCAGATCTCAGCCAATCTGAAAACTCTGGGAGGAAGTACATGTCCAAGCTCACAGACAGGAAATCCAGTGCTCAGCTACTTTTCTTACAGCATAATATTTTGATGTGGAGATATTGACATTTAGGGAGAAAATCCCAGATGAGATCTGCTGCCCAAGCAGAGCTTCTGCTTGAATGGTCAATGCACCTTAACAGCTCTGATGTCCAATTCTGCACAGACACAGTTGAACCTATCACTCATAAGTGCTGATGTAGCCTTGCTCACAGCAAAGCCGCAAAGTCTCCAGAGGTGAGTATCACTGGTAACTGTCATCCTTGTACTTTGATTACTGCACTGGGGGAAGAGTGATGACTGTGGCTGCTTCCCTGCTCAGGCCCAGGAAGGATGATAATATCATTTATTGCAGGGTCTTTCCACTGTATTTTAGGGTTATTATGACTTTTTTGTCTTCTTTGTAGCAATGTCTGACACTGTATAATTTTATTGCAGGATTGAAAAAATTCTATTCAGTTTAATTAAGTTCACATGTACACCATCAATTACAAAGAATAAAAACATTTAACTTAATCTTAAATTGAAAATTAATCAAAATCATTCTCTTATAATCCAAAAAAGAGTCAGAGCCACTAGAATACAGTCTAGTTTGATTCAAAACACCATAAGGTCAAATGTAGCTGATCATATAATACAAATTGGCTGCTCAGTGGCCCAGCAAGAAGGTTGCAGGTTCGATTCCCGGAGTTTGGAGTTTGCATGTTCTCCCTTTGCATGCATGGGTTCTCTGTGGGTACTCTGGCTTCCTCACACAGTGCAAAAACATGACTGTTAGGTTGATTGGCTTCTCTAAATTCTCCTTAGGTGTGAGTGTGTGCATGAATGGTTGTTTGTCTTATTTGTCTCTGTGTTGTCCTGTGATGGACTGGTGACCTGTCCAGGTTGTAGCCCGCCTCTCGCCCCTAGACAGCTGCAGATAGACACCAGCACCCCTCGTGACCCCATAAAGAATAAAACATGATGGAAAGTAGATGGATGAATAATGCAAATTAGTAAAAATAGAAAATACAAATACCAATACACCCAATTATTAATTTCATACTGATTTTTCTCCTCTCCAAGCATGTGGTGACAGTGGACATGGAACTTTTACTTTTGCATAAGAATACAATTTATGAAGGCCCAGTGTGATAATTTTGACTTTTATTTATGTTTTTAAATAAATATGTATAATCATTTAGTGCAAAATTGAAGAACAAGTCTAAAGGAAACCAAACCTTTTGCGTTGATTAATTACCTTTGCAGCGGTCTCTCACCTAAGCGAGAGCGAAAAACATACACCAGAACCAGGCCTGGTATAAGAAACTGACAGAAAGTCTGCGTGGCAAGCTACATAATAGCCACAGCTGGCCAGATGCACCCTGACAGAAGCAAAGTTGCAGTACACTGGCTGCCATGCGCTCTGACAACCATTGTGGGTGAATAGGAAGGACACCACAACTAAGAAACAGGATAGCATCTGGTTGCAGGAAGAAATCCTGCATTCAACATCAGTTATGCTACATGTACCGAATGCACTTTGAGCAGCAGAAGCAGCCCTTTTACATGCAAACTCTATGGTTGAGGCACATCAAGGCGCATCAAAAGTTCCTGCAGTGCGTTTCAATCAGCAGGAGTGGTGCATCTTGATGCATCTGAGCAGCTGAAGCAGCGGCTCAGAACCTTCTGAGCATCTTGGGTGCATGACGCGCTCCACAAGCAGCAGATGATGGAGTTTTTGCTGCTCAACGCGCCACATCAGAAGCTGATCTGGCAGCTGATAGGCAGACAGACACAGCGCTGCTGATGCATAGCGCTATGATCCTTCTACTTTATTAATGCCTAAATTAACTTAAAATGTCTCAATATGCTCCCTTTAAGTATTTCGGTGCCTGCAGTTTGGATGACGTACATGAAAACCGCTAACATCTACTTCCAGCTGCCATGAACGGTAGCGGAAAACCCCCCAAGGAACGATCGGGCCTGAGGCAGCTGCTACTGGGGATTCCCAGTGACAGCGGACCGCCGGTAAGTCTGAGCTCCTCCGACAGCAAAATAATATTGTAAGGCAGGATCGTAATCTTGATTAAAACTGACTGTACAGACAATGTTTTGAGGTGGACTTTCTCGTGTAAAAAACATCATAAAACAAATTTTTACCCCTTGATCACAGTAAATGTTAGCAAAGCCGTTCTCTGCTATTGAATTCAGGAGCAGCAGAAGCAGCAGATGCATCTGGACACAATTTACTGATAATCAAAGATGTTCCGGCGGCCGACCTTAATGATGACAACCATCTAAAATGAAGCAGCAGGTGCTTTTTTGCTGCTCAAATCATGTGATAGTAGCATGAGTCTGACTTTTAGCAGCTGTCCTTAGGGAAAACAGGAGTTTGCAGAATCTTCCACAACAATCTGCATTGATTAAAAAACATATTCTTAATTGCCTTTAACAGATTTGCTTTAAAACTTTTCCACAGCTCACAGACCGAAATTTACCTTTGTAACACTTCTCCCTCTGCCTTAGTTGACAGCTGAGTCTCAGACATTTCTCAATGATTACCTTATAAAAAAATTTCACCTACATATAACCTCTCTCTGCCTTCGGGGCATAATTTATTTTGAATGAGTGTGCAAGGTTTTATAGAGCAAGCTTTAAGAAGTCAGAGTATTTTAAAACTTTAGAAGTTTCACCCACATTGTCCCAGCAATAAGTGACAACACACTGAATGCATCCGTGAGGATTACTGCTTAAAGGGAGGTTAAAGTCTGTCTTTGTTCAGCTCAAACAAATACCAAGAAAATATATTTATTTAAAATTTAGCTTAAAATTCAGTAAAGAAAATGAACAGATACCATTGAGTAATACATGCTGCAAACTGCTTAAGACAAATGTCTTGAGGGACAACACATTAAGAAGGTTTTACCTCCGTGGTTGCTGGAGGGAAAGGCAAATTCAAAAATGTAAATGCACTTCATTGTACTTTTTCATGTAAAGAGAGATACCTCCCTTAGGAGGTAACATAAGTAAGATTAAATAGCAGAATTAAGCAGCAGAAGAGTTATGGGAACACACTAAATTACGCTGTGTCCTTTTGCTCTTGAGATTACACCAGCTCATGCTGGAGAACTCAGAGCTTTTTCTAGTTTTAGAGGAGAATTATTGCGAGAAGACATAGACAGTGAGGTTATATAAATTGTTATAAATAACAGAGGAATTGTAGCTCCATCAATACAGACCAAATAATATTCATGAAGTGTTTTCCACACAGGTTTTCTACTTTGGTAAATATATAAAAAAAAAACTACTTCAAAAAACATACTTTTTCTATTTTGTGTGATTTTTCATGCTCTGAGTTGATTATACAGTAGTGTGAAAGAACATTAAACTGGCTTTGTATTTCCATAGTTTTAAATATGATATAGGGGGAAAAAACTAATTTCTTTCAGGTTTTGTTGCAATTACCCACCAACAAACATTGAGAACTAATAAATATCTATAGATATATTTATAAGGAATACAAAAATAGATCAAATATGCTTATTGATATAAAAAAAAAGATCAGTTTTGTATTATTATACTTGCCACTTGCCAGTTGTTTGTTTATCTTTGTGTCCTGCCAATACAAAAAAAAACATTGGGAGTTAGAATGAGTTGTCAGCAACTGTTAAGAAATGTGAGGGAGCTGATAAGCGGTGGTCCAGTTTCTTTGAACCTTGTTTGAGTGCTGGCAGTAATAACTTGTTAAAATATCCCGACATTGTTTTTTTTGTTTTTTTGAATACTTTATTTAAAGATTTTCAGTTACACAGATACAAAACAGATGGTATGAATTAGAGATTTATACACATTTTGAAAGTATTTGCGGCAATCCCAACCAGTGGCATGTCTTGCTACGTAAGCCCAAGATACACAGAACATTTTGATAAAACCAGCCAAAAAGTAGGACAAAATAATAAAACTAAAAAGGAAAAGATGAGAAACATTTTAAAAAAAGAAAACAACACATATAAAGTATCTCAAGGTATATGCACAAACACTGAAATGCTAAATATACAGTATGCATATTAGACATACATTAATCTATATAAACACATACATAGAGTTGTATATAAAAATATCCAGACATAAATCTGGATTTTGTAAATAAAAATTTGAATCATCATTATAATCATTATAATGACCCATATATTTGGTCATGCCAAAAAAGAAAAGCTTCACAGCTGCACACTCAGCCTCATTCCATGTTCAATTTAATCTAAAATCTATATAAACCTGATAACTAGGACCTATGTATGTCAATTTTATTTTTAATTTGATAAATTCTTCAAAGTTATATTTACACATTTAAGAAGGGGGAGTAATTGTGGAGGGTTTTGTATTTGGTTATTTCTGTGATCAGTTATAAGATTATTAACTATAGCAGTGACCTGAAATGACTGTGTGTACACTGCCTCCCATTCCTGCCTGTTGGTGGGTGGGGAGCTAAATGCCATGTGTGGACTTGAAAAGTGACAGGGGCAGCTGGGGAATGAAACCCAGTAAGAAAGGATCTGGGACATGCAGATCACAAGTGTCTGTAGTACAGAGTTCAGTCACAGCAGCCTTTGCAAATCAGCTTAGTGAGGAAAAACTCAGCTAGAAATCAATGCGAGTTCTACTGTAAGAGAAACCAGGCAGTACAATCTGCCGCTGACCGCGTTCAAGAAGTCAGGGGCAGCTGTCTTTAGCAGTCCTCTCAATGCTTCTAGAGTTGGTGGCTGAGTTAATTGCGTGCTGTTATTAGTGACAGAAATATTATCACGACAAAGGTGATGGGTGGAAAGCAGTCCCGCAGCCTCTCCAACACAGAGTTGAATGAGGTGAGTGTGGGCCAAAGGAGGAAGGGTACAATTAGAGATGAGCAGACCAGCCTGTCCTGGGCAGCAGAGAGGATCCGCAGACAAACCAACGTCCACTTTGGTTTCAACACTCTGTCTTTAGCCATGCGGGGACTGGATGAAACGCCTGCCGAGCTGTGGGAACTCAGAGATCTTCAGAAGCTGAACTTATCCATGAACTGTCTATGCTCCTTGCCTCCCTCTCTGAGTGCTCTGGACAATCTGGTCATTCTCAACTTGTGGGGAAACAACCTGACCAGCCTCCCGCCTGAGATAGGTCTGCTGAAGAAGTTGCGCGTGCTGTTCGCGTGTCGCAACCGCCTGAGTGAGGTCCCAGAGGAGCTTGGCTCATGCACACAACTGGAAGTGCTAAGTTTAGCCAACAACCAGATCTCCAGTCTTCCCAGCAGCTTGGCAGCCATGCATCATTTGACCAAACTCAACCTCAGTCACAACCGCATTGTCCACATCCCCACTTGCATCTACAGCATGAAAGGACTGGTCTTCCTGCATTTGGCTTGCAACCATCTGGAGACCATCGCTGATCAGATTCAAGACCTGGTTAACCTGAAGATCCTTATCGTGGAGGGAAACAGCATACACACGCTTCCAAAGACTCTGTGTTTTCTGGAGTCATTAGAGCTCCTTAATGTGGACTTTAACGAGCTGCAAAGTGTGCCTGATGAGATGTACCAACTGAGCAGACTCAGGCGGTTGGCCTGCCATCCCCTGGATAAAGGACTTCATATCATTCACAACCCACTCCTCAAACCTATCCATGAGGTACTGCAAGGTGGACTCAGTGCTTTATATAACTACCTTAAGCCTACATAATAAATACATCTATCTATATGTCTGTGTGTGCTGTTTGCTACTTCATTGGCCCCTCGGTAGCTATGCACCATCTAAAAAATGTCAGTCTCAGTTTTTTTAAGCTGGTCTTTCTTCTCTAATCTAAAAAGTTCTGCAAATATACTTTTATAGGTGGTCTCTATAGTTACATTGACTCCAAATGGGGAAGCTATTAGTTTATTCTGTGTGTATATAAAGCATTAAAATTCTTCTCTAAGTCTTACATTGCTTAAAACTGGCTGTCTTATCAATATGGCATATAAAAGATATTCTGAATAGGCTCTGATAGTTTTAAAGGTCTTCTGACTAGAAAATCTAGTTTTCTCATGCAATGTTGACAACATAGGTTGCTCAACTGGTGTTAAAAACTCTATAAAGTCTACATTTAGAGGCTGATGCTCCTCAGCTGATCCTGGTGTTGCATTGTGGGTCTAACAGTGGTAAGTTTAACCACAGAGCGGCGCTTCCCATTGTATTCAGGTCACAGGGATCAGGTGTGTAAAGTCAGTGGAAAAACATCAGAGCAGGGCAGCGGGTGATGGTTTAAGATCCGTCAACAGATTAAAAAGAGACACCCAGCACACACCAGGGAGTTGATTAAATATTGTTCCATTCATCAGATCAAAGCGGCAGCTCCTCAAAGGATGATCCGTGTTGCACCACCAAGCAACTAAAGAAAAAACGAAGCAGGGAATTATATGAAGGAAATGTTTTCCAAGACACAACAAAGATAAAATGAGGTTCACCTGATGCAACTTTAACCAAATTAATCCACTTTTTTATATTACCTTTAAATCAAGGTTTAAATACAGACTTATAATAGCAGTTAGTTGACCTTTATAGAAGTACATTCAGCACTAAATACCAATTTGATAGATTTTCTGCCAAATGTTAAGTTTTATCAATATAAGAGGTGCAATATTTAGTGAATTATTGAAGTGTGTGGTATTAGCCACCTCATGCGGAAATAAATCTGAGGGTTCCTAATTTACTCTTGTCAGAAAATCGTTTTTTTTTTAGTTTATCTGCATGTAGTTTAATGTTTCACAACCTATTTGTGGGCAAATGTTGCCAAAATTGTTATAAATTTCACCACATAACCTAAAAAAATATAATCAGCCAATTATTCAACAATTACAAATCAACAAAAATTTTCTGAACTACAAGTGTGTTTCATACTTATCTGCAACAACAGTGTATCACGGTGTAATATAATTTGGATATATAGCCCTTCTTTAGGTCATTTTTAATCTTAAAGGTCAATATTTGGTATCATAAAAATGTTGTTGTTTAATTCAATTTAGGATTGAAGTAATGTGGCTTTGTTATTAAATGTCATATATGTCTATATATTTCAGAAATCCCGCAAAGCAGCTTAGTGTATTTAAAAAGTGCTTCTACTAGTGAAATGGCGGTCAACATTTTGCATCTTTACCAGCTCATCTGTTATTGGGATTAAATAGGCCTTTGTTTCTACAACCAGTCCAAGAACTACATTCCTGTTGCTTTCAGTCGTACCTGAAACAGTCAGACTTCAGCCAAAAATGTGTAAATAATATGAAATTGTGCAAAAATATTGGCTTTTGTAGTTGGGTTTCTAGTCAGACTGAGAAAATGCCTAACAGTTACATCTCCTGGTAAGTTTGTGTTACTGCATCCCTGCGTACCAGCAGCTCTCACTCGTTGACACGCGCGCACACAGTCCATGCATTCATGATAGATGACACCCCTCTGAATAAGTCTTTGTCCTACATAGTGATCATGGGATATGCTGTCAAATAAAGCACATATAGAAGTGTTGCATCGTTGTGAGCTGGATGACCTGATTTGGTGCTCTCAAGAGAAACTGGAAAAAGGCAGACAAAACGTGTTTCAGTAAGTTGAAATATATGAATATGAATATTGAAAGGGATTCCTCCTTTCCATATATTACCACGCATATTTTGTGTACAAGTATATTGTAATCTGGAAGTAAGAACCAAATAATCAGTAATTGGAACATTTGTATTTAGAAAATTAGATCAAATCATTGATTTAACTGCCTACATCCTCCCATAAATTCCAGATTTTTATTTTCTTTTTTAACTTTATCATGCTTCAAAAGCATGGATCTCCCTTTAATTTTTGCATGTTCAAGACGATATCCAATGCTATTTTCCCACCTTTTGAATGTACTTAGGCCAAGAGGTTAAGTTTTGGTTTCTTTTGCCCAAATCACTTTTTCCAAATGTTTACGTTCTTCTATCAATTCCATTTTTCTTTGGACAATCTTCATAAAGGCAAAATTTTGAGACTGGACAACAAGTAGTTGTCTTTTCAACAGCATCTCCCACATATGCTATGCAGCTGTGCAGTTCCTCTAGCATTACCATGGAGGTGTCTTGGCCACTTCTCTTATTAATGCTTTCATATTCTGGTCTGTAAGTACAGGTAAATTAGTTTTTTTGGGAAATCAAGGTAGTTAGCAGTTGCCTTCTACCTAAACGCCATTTCACAAAGTCCCAATGAAATATTTATGATAACAAACAGACAAAATAGTGACAATTGTTGTATAATTCTGCACATAAATATGCTGTTGGCATCTCTGCTCGTCTTCATGCTCCTAATCTTAGCAACAACTTGAGAATATTTACTTTTTAGATTAACTCTAATTTCCATGAAATTCTTGGATCGTCATATGAAAGTTTCTCTCTTGTGTGTTTTACCTATTAAGTTAAAAAAAGCATTTGAGCCACCATGATAGAAAAGTTTCATGATCCATCATGGTTTACTAATTTGCCTGAATGTATTAATGTTATTCTGCCTGCCATAGTAAACTGGGATCTACAGTGGGCTCTGTTGGATTAACTAATCCTATAGTTATGTGCTTCACCAATTCCATTAGATTGTCCAGTTGTGAGTACAGGCTAAATCCTGGGCTTTTCATTTAGAGCTATTTTGCATTTTTAATCCAAAGCTTAGAGAGCCAGTGACTGAGGTAGAGCTAATCAATCCCAGTTTGAGTCTATGACAATCAATGCAGTGGGTAATAACAATGAAATCAAACAGAACAACCCCTGCTGTAAGGCAGCCACATGAGGGGAGCCTTAATAAGCTTTTCTTTGGAGTGCAGTTAGATTTCTCTGATTTATTCTGTCACAGAATGAAAGAATGTCTTATTGGCAAAGTATCAGACTCACAGTTATATCAATTTGTCATTTACTTAATCATTTTAATAAACTAATGGAAATTGTCTCTATGTAAATAAAATATCACAGAAAAAAAATATTTGCAGAAGACTAACAGGTTCCTCCACTGTGGATCACTGGGTGTGATGCTCGATTCGAAATCCAAAGTAAATGACCTTGAGACATCCAAAGAAAATATCAGATCAAAGAATGAATGTTATCCTTGTCCTAATTGGATTATTGTATAAATGTTAGGAGATTTCCTGTAGTGCCTAATCGTGTGACTTCATAGACGAGATTTTTATTGGGTGGGGGTGGGGGGTAATTTACATTTAAATGGTAAACTGAAAAAGAATGAATCCAAATCCATGTAGCAGCCAGGAAGGGCTGGATACTGGAAGAAATCAGTGGAATCTTGGAGAAACTGTTGACTATATATATATATATATATATATATATATATATATATATATATATATATTAATTAGGGCCAAAACAAGTAATCGGATTAATCATGATAATCGATTATCAAATAATTGTCAACTAATTTAGTAATCATTAACTGGAGCCTTTAGCCGACAGAGCAACCTCACTTAGAGCAGTAATTATACTAATATTGTAAAAAATATATAAGCATTTTGCATTTAATATAAAAAAATTGTCTATCCAGAACTCCTCAAGTGGAAAAGTTTAATTTTTACCTGGTTTAATTTAGTTTAAAAAGTCTTCTTTTAAGAACCTTTGGCTATCTGATTATTAATTGAAAAAAAAAAAAAATTAACAGGTTAATCAATTTGCAATTGTTAGTTGCAGCCCTAATGCTGATATATCCTGGGAGGGATTTCTAAGGAGAAACAGGTGTATTCATCAACTGATTGAAAACAGGTTTGTGCTACTAGTGGTAGAGTAATGAAGAAGTGTAACATGCTCAAAACTATGAGGTAAGGAGCACGGTTTTAGAGCAAATGGAAGTTTCAGGTCAGTCTAAAAACTATGTTTAGCAGATAAACATTGAAGTTATATCTCTGAAAAACAAGGCCAGCTCTTTCTGGAGCAGTTCTTACCTGAGAGTGACGCAGCTGGGGTGAAAGTCAGGTCCTGAATCTGAGGCCATCCTTTACATACGGGATGCCAATTGACAATTTTTGATGGCAAGTCATGTTTGTCTCTCCTTGCCTTTGTTTAATTTAAACAATATATATATATATATATATTGGAATTTTACTTATTCAGACCAAAGGTCCTATTATTCAGTAAAATAACACTGTAGGTCTATGTGGTAAACCTTTATCAGACCAACCATTTTACAAAAAAAAAAAAAAAAAAAAAAAAACACCTGAATCATATGGCTGAATTCCCCAATCAGCATCTTTTTCAGCTCTGGAAATTCCTTGTAACAAGCCATTTATTTTATTCAGGAGTGTTGAAGGAGGGTTGGAATTTCAATTTGCACGATTATAGCTCATGCAGTTGCTCTCAAGGACTGGACCTGGACAGCCCTGAACTAAACCATCTTTAGATATAAAACCAATGTCTATTCAATGCGCATTTAATGGTGAGGATGGCTGCTATAAAGAATAGGGGTTAAATGCTTCAACCAGAAAATGGGTTCAGTCTTTCTCTAAAGCAAAGAAGTTCAAGTCTGCATTTTTTTTTGATGTGATGGCAGAATGATTCAGGGATAGATAACCCCAATCCAAGGGAGCCAGTGACCTGCAACTTGTGATGTGTGCAAGATCCAACAAACCTGAATCAAATGGCTAAATTACCTCCTCAGTATGCATTTAAGTTGTACAAAGTCCTGGAAAAAAACAG